TTTGGATTTATTACTATGTCTTCTTTTTTCATCATGTGACCTAAAAAAGCTACCTACTCTAGCAAAAATTCATATTTCTTGAATTTGGCGTATAGTTGCTACTCCCTTAGCGTCTATAAGGTGGCTCTTAGATGCCCCCTATGCTTCTCCTTACTTCGAGAATAAACCAGGATATCATCGATGAATATTATGATAAACTTATCTAGGTATTCTTTAAAGAATTGATTCATCACGTCCATGAAAACGACTGGGCGTTAATCAATCCAAATGGCATTACTAGGAATTCATAATGGCCATATCTTATCCCGAATGACGTCTTCTTCACATAGTCCGATTTTACCCTCGATTGGTGGTATGTCGATTACGGATAAATTTTGGAGAACACCATCGCACCTTGTAATTGATCAAACAAATCATTAATCTAGGGTAATGAGTACTTATTTTTAATTATCACCCGGTTCAATTCCCGATAGTCAATGTATAGCCGCGGACTACCGTCCTTCTTTTTCATGAACAATACCGAAGCTCCCTAAGGTGAGGAACCGGGGCGTATAAATCCCTTATCCAAGTAAGTTCCGTAGCCGCACCTTTAACTTTTTCAATTCAATTGGGGTCATTCTATAGGGAGTCTTAGAAATCGGAGTGGTGCTTGGCTCCGAGTCAATCTCAAATTCTATCTCCCTCTCCGATGGCAACTTAGTCAAAGTTTCTAGAAATACGTCCGGATACTCCCGTATGACTTCTATATCGTCCGAGTTCGACTCGGCTCTACCTAGCTATCTACTACGTGTGCTAGATACTCCGCACATCTTTTATAGCCGAGATAATTGGTATAGCTCAAAACTTCATATCATCCTTAAACTCTAATGGCTAATCTCCAAGTAAATCAAAAACTACTCTCCTCCCTCGATAGTTAATGGTGGCACCATACCTCATTAACCAATCCATACCCGAATCAAATCAAAATCTTGGGGTCTAATACGATCAAATCGGCCTCCAAAATCTTATCCTCAATTCGGATTGGACACTCGCTTGACTAGGCTTGTTGACTCCATAAATTCTCCAAAAGGAACTACTATTAGACAACCTATTGCCAATTTCTCGGGTTTCACACCAAGGCCTTCTACTAATGTTTTCGATATGAATGAATGTGTGGCACCGTAATCAATTAAAACATAAGCAATCAAGCCAAGGATATAGACATTATCGCATATTACTATCGTGTCCCTCTTGTCGGCGTCCTCTTGGGTCATTGTATAAACGCGTATAGGTACTCTTCCAAGTCTTGGTTTTTGTGTTTGAGGACGGTTAAAGGCTCTATGCCTTTGCTTATGATAGACATAACGGACCCTCAAATCCGGTCGGCACTCCCTTATGTGGAATCTTCCACATTTATTGTACTAAGATTGATTACCAATTGTTGGCCTTGCTCGATTCCCTAATACTATCCTCGGGGCATAAGGTGATGGTTTGGTAGCTCGTGCATTTCCTGGACCACCAGTTTGGTTAAAATTTCTAGGCAAAGTTCATCTTTCGGGTATGAAGGAAGAGACTCGGGTCAAAGTGATTGCCTCGTCGACTGAACTTCCTTTGTAATTTCCTTCCGATCTTCATCCGCCAATATTGCTTTATCTACTATTTCGAAAAAGTGTTGACAATAGAAATTTGTACCATACTTCGAACCCTTGCGCTCGACCTTGTTAAAAACCGATTCTTCTTCAAGTTGTTGTCCTCTCGTAATGAATGGGATGAATCGACATCCTTGCTCAAATCTCTATAAGTATTCACCTACAAACATTCCATCTTGCTTTAGCTCGAGGAATTCTTGAATTTTTTAGCCCTCACGTCTATCGTAAAGTATTTAATGTAGAAGACCTCCTTAAATTCTTCCCAAGTTAAGGTAGGCGGATCCACTCGTCAATTGTGCACTCTCCCACCATGTGCGAGCATCCTTCATCGAGCATAAAAATGGCACACGATACTCACTCATTGTTGGTAAATTGCAAGTATTCGAATATAGCTTCTAACGACTTAATCGATTCCTTCGTTATCATTGGATTAACACCCCCGCAGAATTCCCGAGGACTCATCTTACAAAACCTCTCCACCGCATCGTTCCTATGCTAGGGTGGTGGAGGTGGAGGCTATTGATGCATAGCTAGGAGTCGTCTCATTTGCTCCACATGGTCTTTTTGTTGTTGTTAATGCATCATGTCCATCATGCAACTTAAAGTGTCCTATTGATTTCGTTATGATCATTAGAGGTCATTTCACCTCCTACTCATGTTGGCTCTTTTTTTGGCATGCTTGGACTTTGTACATGCCATGTTATGCCCATGTTAGTTTTGCTATCAAAAACAATATACACCGTAAATCATCCACTTACGCACGAAATTATAGATATTTATATATGAAGCATTTCGTACACAACGAGTATTTATAAGCACTTTTACCTTCTAAAAGTTTTTTTTGTGTGCTCTATTTACAATCAAAAGTGTACTTATTTACATCGAGAAATACACAATAGGTACTACATCATGTGATAGAGTTACAATCTATTATGTCCAACAAACATATCGAACACATCATGGGAAGGAGTGCTCGAACCTCCACTGATCAATAACATCATCCGATGCAATGCGTACTATCTCCCGAGCAAAGGGCAACGGTAGACGCCGACTATACATCAACTAGGTACGAGTTCGCTTAACCTATACTAGAGGGAAGGCTTGAACAAAATCTCAATAACAAAATCAACCTATCAGTCCTTCCCCAACCTCATCGAGCAATAGCCGATCTCTCGATGAAAGAGACCGATGTAGAATCAATCGTAGGAAATCCATACTGCAAGACATATGGAAAGAAGCATCAATGAATGTTATTCACCGAATCGAGTCATGCACCCGAGTGACGTGGGCTACTATATCCCGATTTGAGGTCATAGTCGTCGTTTAGTTTAGTCTAGTAGGTAGCTATTGTGGCTTGTTATTGGCACGTCCTAGTAGTGCGGGATGTACAAAATAAATATAGCATCTACACCAACAATAATTACTAGTATTAATGTTTCTAGAACACAATTATATACTCGCATAAAAATCATATAATAGTCATTCATATTTAAAAAATAAAAAATAAAATTGTTACTCATCGAGTAGCACACCGGTCCTCAAGCTCAAGTGACACTTAAGGTTCTACCCAGTTAACTAAGCCATGGCTTTGATACCATCCTATGACACCCCCTTTCCGACCTACTTGTTAAATACTCAAAAGGAGTGGTTAGGCAAGGAGTGTGTCACGCCGACATGAACGAGTTTCCAAATTGACCTCAAATAGGTATGTGCTCATACATTAAGGACTTATCGTATAATGAAACATGTATAAGATAATTTACACAATATTAGCAAGATACAGTGTCATAGGGCGACGTCGGGCGAGTGAGGTAAAATGTAGGGCAAATGATTAGAGTCACCACGTAGTATTACGATTATTAGAAAACCTCATGACCGGTCTATTCGTAGTTTTGGGTAAGGGGTTTATTACGCATAGGGAAGACCAAAAGTCACCCTACCCCATCTTGCCTAAGGCAAGCTGCATTGTATACAACTTTAATTTGACTTCGATGAAAGTGCCCCCTTCGTTGAGTGACTCGGGACCCGGTCGATCAAAGACCTTGTCCTCACTCTGTAATAAATGGATAAAAATGATGAGTCAGGGATATGTCGCTAATGCAGTTCGAACAACATGCATGAGAAACAAAACTTAAAATGGGCAAATAGACAAACAAACACGATAGACAAAATGACGAATAGGCAACATAGATAGAAATAGGCAAATAATGACAAAATAGACAAATTGGCAAATAGGAAAAAATTAACAAACACACAAATTGAAAAAATCGATAAACGGACAAATAGATAATTAGAAAAAATTGACAAATAGGAAAAATAGGCAATCATAGGCGGAAATAGGCAAACTTAGGCAATCATAGGCAAAAATAAGCTAAAATCGACTACATAGGCAAAAATAGGCAAAAATAGGCAAACTTAGGCAAAATAGGCAATCATGGGCAGAAATAGGCAAACTTAGGCAATCATAGGAAAAAATGGAAAAAAATCAACAACCTAGGCAAAAATAGGCGAAAGTCGGCAACAAAAACGAAAGCGAAAGCTTTGGCAAAAATCGATAACGAAAACGAAAGTTGAATCTTTGGTCAAAATCGGCGACGAAAAATGAAAGCCATAGCTTTGGTTAAAATCGACAACAAAAACGAAAGCCACAGACTTTGGTCAAAATCGACGACAAAAACAAAAGCGATAGCTTTGGCTAAAATTGACAAGAAAAAACGTAAGCAACAGACTTTGACTAAAATTGACTAAAATCGGCAACAAAATAAAAAATTGACGAACTTTGGCTAAAATTGGCTAAAATTGAAAAAAAAAGCACATATAGAAAAAAATTGACGAGAATTGGCAATTGGACCAAAAATAGAGAAAGTACAAAAAAATCAACAAAATTTATTAGTTTGGCATGCATAATCAATCATGTTTGAAGAAAGGAAAGCTACATGACAACATTTCAAACTTGCTTGGTTCGATTTGTGTTTTATAAAATTGTCATACAAGATGCACACTTAAAATATGCATACACCGAATCCAAATGTCCAAGCCAACGCATTATTCACCAAATTGTGAACATAACAACATGCACCATCATGCAGACAGATAAATAGCCCATAGACAAAATATCATATTATTACATAGCACAACCATTTAATTTACACAACACATATGGGCATGAATGAAATTTAATACATGTCAAAAAGTAAAAATAAAATGAAGTAAAAAGTGAAAAAGATTACCGTAAAGAAAAAAGAGGTGGACCGATTTGCTTGATTATCTCGAAGTCGGATCCGGCCTTTTCGACCTCGATGGAGACCAATGCTTAGTCAACCGGGGAGGAAAGGTGGGCGAGAACGATTCTGTCGCTAGCAAAGGTGAACGCTAGCTCGTAATCGTAAGTTGGCGGGAGGTGCCGGCATGTCGGGGGTTGGCGTGCCCGTGGCCGGGCCGACTTGTTAATGGCCGGCCTAGCGTGCCGGGCACCGGCACGCCGAGAAGCCGGTAGATGCTCGGCATGTAGGGAGGCCCGCCGGTGCACGAGGCACTAGAGCGCTTGGAGGAGAGCAGGCGTGCTCGGGCGCCGACATGCCCGTGCTTAACGCTAGGCCGCACGGGCGGGAGCCGGGGGTTGGAGCGGGAGGCGCCGGTGCGGGGAGCGATCGGTACGCGTAGGCTACTACTAATGAGAAGCGAGCGGACGCTCGACGAGGCCGCAGGTGTGCGCATGCCGTGCCTAGCACTCGGTGCATGCTCGAAGCACCTAATGTGCTAGAGTGGGTTGAGAAAGGCACCGAGGGCAACTCGCTCGTGTGGAAGAAGGTGCCGAGGCCTGGTGGCGTTAGGGGTGCCTGGCGTGGTGGTAGGCATGGGTAGTAGAGGTCGTCGGCGTGGTGGAGGAGAGGGGCCGTGGCCTCGTGAGGAAGGTGGCTGCTCGTTGGTGAGGGGGTTAGCGGATAGGTTTTTTTAGGATGATGAATAATAGCCGCCCTTGTGGGAGAAAAAGGGGGCTTTTATACTAGGTTTTTAGGGTTTTTGGCAAAAATCTATTTTGGTCCCTCATTTAAAAACCAACTTTATTTTGCTTCTTTTCTCTTCTCTTCTTCAATCGCACCCCTATATATATTTTTACTTTCTTTTTCTTTTTTCTTCTTTTTCTTCTCTTTTTTTACCTAAAATTAGGTGTTAAGAGTTGCCCCTCTTTACAATGTTTATGACGCAAAGCCATTGAAAATTTGACTTTTTATAAAAGGGCCGCAATCAATTCAAAGGCCTTCTCCAAACACAAATTGATGCAGGTGACCGTTCTCGTGGTCAAACATGCAACTATCCTTTGGCAATGCACCAAAGTGTGAGTGATGTACCCGAAACACAAAAATTGTTACTACCAAAACGTCCACTTCCCTCCGAGCTGCAAGTACATCTTCATCGAGCTAGGTTCGTGATTTCTAAGCTAGCCGCTCTAGCGGATTTTTATCTATGTAACCGCACGTCTTCCGAATCGTTTTTTTTTTTTTGATCGGCTAGCTTTTTACGTGCATGCTTGGACCGTCATTACCAAATACTTTATTCCTTGCCATTGCATATTGATGGGGTGTACTCCGAAATGGTTGAGGCAACCTTTGATTATCATTGCATGCTATTCACTCGGGTTTTTTTTTTTTACACAAAGAGTTAATGAAAAAGCCTTTTCATCTATCAAGGGTGAATAAAATTCCTATCATTCATTTCATTTGTCCTCTTTTGTGTTATTATTTTTCATAAATAACATTAAGTATGAGATTATGCATGAGAGCGAAGTTATTTTGATAGATAAAGAAAAAGTCGGGAATAGTTATATGGGGTGGGTAAGAAAGAAAAGAGAAGCAATAGTAAAATAATTAAACAAGAAAATATTCAACATAATTTCGATTATTTCCTTTTTGCAATGAAACAAAGAAAAATTTCACATGCTTAAGCATGATATTTCTTTATAATGTCGGAATTCATCGGCTTCGGAAGACCTCACCATCCATCTTCATCAAAAGGAGGGCTCCCCAGAGGATGCTCTTTTTACCACATACGGACCCTCATAATTGGGTGCCCACTTATTTTTTCTGCCCTCGGGATTAGGAGTACTCTCTTCAAGACTAATTCCCCTTAACCAAAAGTTCTTGTGTGGACTTTCTTATCATACGCCCGAGCAATTCTTTTTGATACAACTGCGCATGACAAATAGTTGCTAACCTTTTCTCACTAATCAAGTTCAGATTGTTCATATCCGATTTAGGCCCATTCGGACTCATCTAGCTCTACTTCTTTTAACACCCTTAGAGATGGTATCTCTATTTCCATGGGCATCACTCGCCTCCATCTCATTTACCAACGAGTATGAAGTTGCCCCAATTGACGTCCTCATTGCCATCCTATAAGCATGTAATGCAAATAGCAACATTTCATGCCGCTCTATGTACATGACTACCATTTTCCGTATGATCTTCTTTATGTTCTTATTTACAGCTTTCATGGCCCCATTATCTTGGGTCTATATAGTGAAGAATTACGATGCTTGATTTTTCACTGTTCGCATAATTCCGTAATCATATTGCCATTGAAATTTTGTACATTATCCATGTTCAAGGTCTCCGGAGGCCCATATCGACAAATGATGTCTTTTTGTACGAATCAATGGACAACTCTCTAGGTAAATGTGTGAAGGATGCTGCTTTCACCCATTTAGTGAAGTAATCAATTGCTACTAGGATGAAGCGATGACCATTACTAGCTTTCAAATTTATCGCCCCAATCACATCCATTCTCCACATTGAGAACGACCGGGGAGACACCATGTTATGGAGGCATACGGGAGGAGCATTTATCCGGTCCGTGTAGATTTGGCATTTGTGGCACTTTCGTACGTAGTCTATGCAGTCCATTTCCATAGTAGTCCAAAAATAACCACATCTTTGAATTTGATGAGCCATCATGTGTCCATTGGCATGGGTTCCATAAATCCCGTCGTGAACCTCTTCAATTACCTTCTTAGCTTCGACGGAACCTAAACACCTCAAGCAAAGTCTCATAGAAACTTCTTTTGTATAGCACTTCCCCATCTAAGTAAAAATCCATTACCAACTTTCGAAGTGTCTTCCTATCAATCTTCGATGCACACGATGGGTATTCGCAATGTTGTATGAACTATTTGATGTCTTCATACATGGCTTTCATCGAGCTCAACCTCGATCGGACAACACAAGTGGGTCAAGACATTTTTTACTTCGATGCATATGGGGTGAACCTTTATACCATATGTTTTCTTTGTCATTGCAGCTAGTATGGCCAAGGCATCGATGAAGTGGTTCTTGTCTCGACCCAAATGGATGAACTCTATCTCATCAAAATGATTGGCTAGCTTTGTTAAGTATTCCTAATACGAGCTTCGACTATTCATCTTTCATCATCCATTCTCCTCTAACTTGATAGATTATTAGTAATGAACACGCATACACATCTAACTTTTGGATCCTCATTTCTAAGGTTGCTTCTAACCCATGCACACACACCTCATATTCTACTATGTTCTTTATGCATTCAAAATGTAATTTCACGACCATTGGGATTGCTTTCCATCCGGTGAGACGATGATCGATCCAATATCATTTCCGTTCACATTGATCGCTCCGTCAAAATACATGGTCCATTTACTAGTTTTGGACTCGGATTCTTCATCTATGGCCATAATTGACTCATCGGGAAAGTTAAATTTCGGAGGTTCATCGTCATCGGTTGCACCATCTCGCTAGTTGATCGACTATGACACTCCCTTTCACTCGCTTTTCTCATCATATACACAATATCATACTCGAGCAGCATAACTTGCCATTGTGCAATACGGCTAGATAAGTATGGCTTTTTAAAGATGTACTTAAGTGCATCCATCTTTGAAATCAACCACGTGGTATAATAAAGCATGTACTTGTTTTAGCCTTCTTGCATGCCATAATAGGCCACAACACATCTTCTCGAGCACATTATACCGAGACTCACGATCGATGAATTTTTTACTCAAGTAGTAGATAGCACTGCTCTTTCCTTCCCGATTCATCACACTCGGCCTAGGACATAACCTATAGCCACCTCTATCACGATTAAGTATAGAATTAGAGGCCTTCTAGGAACCGGTGGTACCAACAACGGTGGATTCTATAAGTACTTGCTTGATTATATCAAAGGCTAGTTGACAATCTTGGTCCTATACCACAGGATTCTTCTTTCATAATAACCGAAATTTTGGTTCACATGTTATGGATAATCGAGATATGAATCGAGCTATGTAGTTCAAATGACTTAAGAAACTTCTAATCTCCCTCTCAAATGAAGGTGCGGGCATGCTTTGGATCGCTTTAACCTTATATGGATCAACTTCAATTCCTCTATTGCTTACTATAAACCCTAGTAGTTTTCTCAACTTTACACCAAATTTTCACTTTTCGGGATTCAACTTTAATCCGTACCTTCTCGGTCTCTCAAAGAGCTTCCTTAATGTCAAAGTATGATCTTCGCCTTCTTTTGACTATGCAATCATATCATCTACCTACACTTTGATGTCTTTGTGTATCATGTCATGGAAGAGTGTGACCATGGCCCTCCGATAGGTGGCTCCCGCATTCTTCGGACCAAAAGGTATAACCTTGTAGCAGAAGGTTCCCCAAGGTATGATAAAAGTCATCTTCTCCTTGTCTTCCATAACCATTATGATCTGGTTGTATCCTAAAAAACAATCCATGAATGAATAAGTTGTATTTTTCTTCGCGTTGTCCACCAAGACGTCAATATGAGGAAGGGGAAAATCATCCTTTGAACCGGCTCTATTCAAGTCATGAAAGTCCATACACACTAGTATTCGACCATCTTTCTTCCCCACGACGACAATGTTTGACACCCACCGAGGATACTCAACCACTTCTAAAAATTCGACATCCCATCGCTTCCTTATCTCATCTTTGACTTTCAACGGAATATCCGGCCTTATTCGTCTCAATTTTTATTTCATTGGCTTGCTCCCCGAGTTCAAAGGCGGTATGTGTTCCACTATGTCGATGTCTAAACCTAGCATATCGGCATACGACCATACAAATACATCCGCATACTCCTCGAGAAGTGCAATCAATCTCTCTTTTTATGTACTCTCTATCGGTGTGCCTATCTTTAGCTCCCTCTTGTTCTCCTTGGTTCCCACATTTATTACCTTCAAATCCTCTTTGTGCAAGGGACTATTCGATTGCACAACTAGCTTAGTGAATTCTCAAATATCATTTTCATCTCATTCTTCTTCGTCTATTGCAATTAAGGTTTCATCAAAATTAGGCCATATATTTTTAGGAGAATCATTTTGGTTTTTAAGAAGTAATCATATTGATTGTCCCCGAAATGAAATAAAGTGCAAATAAAAAAGAATAAAAGAAGATAAAGGCTAAAATTTAAATAAATTTTCACAATCCAATAATTAATGTTTTTATGACAAATAACAATGAGTAGTATACGTTTAGTATACTACAACGTTCAAAGAACAAGAAACAAAAATGAAAAGAAAATTACTTAGTCTTGAAAACTAAAGGTTCTTCTTCATCGAACCAATTGTGTAACTCTTCTTCCTTAGTGAACTTGCGGATTAGTTGATCTAGATCAAAGGTGTCTCTCAATGTATTGATCATGAGTCGAGGCGGGACGGTTGTACTTACACCGGCTAAGGCCGGCATTATCCGGACCGATTGACCTCCATCCTCAATTTC